TTGATGTGGTGTTATCATTTTTCTATGTATTATTCCCAGTGCGATGGTTGTGTGTGTGTCCTTACTGACATTAAGAGTGATAATATTGCTGAAAGTAAACTGACTCCGTGATTCTCCCTGACAGACTTCAACTGGCCAGTGACCTACTCCATGTTAGAATTACATGACCTGTCATCTTTTGCAGATAAACGCAGTGCGTGCAATAGTTCCTAATAAGAGCAACAATGAAATCATCTTGGTTTTGCAGCACTTTGATAATTGTGTGGACAAAACAGTACAAGCATTCATGGAAGGTAATTAATCCTGTCTCCAGTTTAGACTTTTGGAACTTGAGCTGTAGTGCACAGTCTGACAGTGAAGCGTACTGTGATACTTTGTTAATGTAAGATACTGTTTTCATTTCCAACCTGTAGAAAAACTGGAAGAGACAAACTAAGAAAACCCCTTTACTATTAAGAGTGTTCTCTACAAACATTTAAGAAATCAGACCAAGCGTGGTGGAACATTACTGTAATCCCAGTGTTTGAGGGGTGAAGGCAAGAAGACTATGATTTGAGGCCAGCCTTGGTTATATAGTAAATTATAGACCAGTCTCTTACTATATCGTGAGACCCCATCTAAAAGATTTATGTCCCCCCTCCCCAAACAAGCTATGCAGCTGTTGGTGTAAGATTTGAATGAAATTGGATAAAGTGACTTAAGTGCCTATTGCAAAGGAGTAACTCAGTGGCCCAGGAACAGATGGCCAGTTCAAGGACTCAATGTTTATTTCCAAATTCCACTATTTCCAATTTAGTTTGGTTTTGGCAGGTGACTTAGATGTGTGAGTTGAGTTTCCTTATGTTTTCTATATGTCAGATATAAAACAATAGCCTTGTTCAATGCCTTAGATTTATAGGCTTATTAAGTGTTCTTCCATATCACTTTACTTGAAGCTGTTTTGCCTTTGAGTAGAGTGGTGTCAGGCCAGGGCTCTCTGCTGCACTTTTCTGGGTTTGCAAGTACAGGAGAAACAGGTCAACATCTACAGGGTTTTTCTCTGTTGTTGTGCTTTCTTTATGTTGGGGTTTGAGTCTGGTGTAGGGTGCAGCTCTTCCCAAACACCACAGTCAAGATGGTATGTAACATGGAGGGAGAAGACGTTGAAGACTAGTCACCTCTGTTTTCAGACCCAGATGTGTATTTAAAGAGTCTTAAATGACCTCAGTAGGCTCCTGTAGCAGAAGTGTGACATGATTGCCTCTCTGCAGTATCCAGCGATTATGAAATATACTGATTTCTCCTTCAATTTGTGTGTGGCACAAGAGGAAATCTCTATTTGATCTCTTTTCCAGGCAGTGCCAGTGAAGTACTCAAAGAATGGATAGTAACAGGCAAGAAAAAGGTAAATATGAATTATATTGTTATTTGTTTGTTTTTTATTGGGCTTTAAAGGCTGGCAAGATGGTTCGGCAGGTAAGAGTAGCACAGTGCTCTTGCAGAGGCCCTGGGTGTAGTTCCTGGCTCCTCATAGCAGCTCACCATCTAACTCCATCTCCACAGGCATTAGGTGCACATATGAATAGGAGGGCAAAGTACTCCACATAATGTATAAAAAGGTAAAAAGGCTTTAAAGTATGTTAGGTAATATTTAAGAGCTTCTTTGGAAGTTCCAGCAGAGAGGCATTGTGGGTAGGGGGGTGACACTGGCCTAGCCATCCAGATCAACTAAATGTACCCTGGTGATCACTGAAGTGAGAAATCACAGCCAACTTCACCCATACATTCCATAATATTTGAAAGAAAAAGTGTACATGTTTACCATCTCAAAAATGCTGCTTTTGGCATTGAGACCCTGCTGTATCTTACAGAGTATTATGGTTTGCCCCCTGTATTTGGAGGCAGAAAATGTTAAGTTTGCAGGTGGAGTTGCTGGGGCTGCCCAGCACAAGAGTAGAAGGAAGAGGGCATGTCAGAGAGCACAGGGCCTCCTGGTGGGGTGGCTGATTCCCAGCAGGGTTTGTTCCATAAATTAGCTAACACAGTGCAGACTTTCAGGTTAGACCACTGTGTTCTAGTCCCTAGTAGCAGTGAATTTTGACTTAAAGCCAGATGGCAGCTTCTGCGTCTTTAAAAACTTTATCCTGCTATCTATATTTGTTTATTGTTTGCATGTTTACATATGCATGAGCTCACAGAGGTCAGAGGACAGCTTTGTGGGGTTTGTTTTTTTGAGACAGGGTTTCTCTGTATTGTTTTGGAGGTTGTCCTGGAACTCGCTCTGTGGTGTCGAACTCACAGAGATCCGCCTGCCTCTGCCTCCAGAGTGCTGGGATTAAAGGCGTGCACCACCAACACCCAGCTGTGGGGTTTGTTTTTTCCTTTCAACTTTATGTGCTTTCTATGGGTGGAATTCAAGTTACTTGCTGCCCTTTTTTTTTTCTTTTTTCCTCTTTGGCCAACCTGCTATCCATCTTACTACCCTGGATTTTGCTCCTTCAGGCTAAGTAAGTGCCTTCCTGAGACATCTGATGTTACATGTAGAAGTAGAGTAGAAGGCATTTATTTGGGCTTCAGAGTCAGTCAGAACTGGATTTCTGTCCTTTTCTGCTTCACTGGTCTTGTGAGCTGTCGGTATTGTTTAACTTTAGTTTGCTGTCTATAAAGTAGGAAAATGCAGATATGGTAGCACATACCTATGATCCTAGGACTTAGAAGGGTGAGACAGGAGGGTCCGGAGTTCAAGGCCATTGTCTATATAGCATAACCCTGTCTGGGGGAAAAAAACAACAAAAATACTATAAAATATCAATACATATATATTCTTGTTATAATGCCTAACATTTTAGTTCTTAATCCCTTATTTACATCCATTTAAAAAACCATATTGCTTCCCTTATGGGGCACTAGCCAGGTTGAGTATTCTTCCCACAGCTCTGTGCCCAGTGTAACTCCTATAAAGATTGCTGAAGTATGGATTTTCATTAAGCACCAACTGTTAGGAGTACTCTTCGTTTAAGTTAGTGTTGTGTTCTGAAATGCTTTCTCTTAAATTTCATTATCATGTTGTGTGTGTAAGTGTAGGTGTATAAGTGCCATGGTGCAGAGTACAACCTCGGCGAGTTGGGTCTCTCTTCCACCTTGGATTCCAGGGATTGAATTCAGGTGGTCAGGCTGTGTGGTAAGAGCTTTTACCCACTGAGAAGTCATGCCAGCCATGAAATGGCTTCTTGACCAGGTCAGGGTTGGCTTTTTTAACCTTGGAGAATTTTTTCTCAGAGGCCTGTAACACTGTTGAGGTTCTCATGAAGCTTTCTGTGCCTGTTGCTCTTCATGTCTGTTTCACTGATTGCACCCAGCTTACACCAGTGTCATAAGTTATCCCCCTCAGAATATAAATGATTAACAACACAAGAAAGACATACGGCATAGTTGTAAAGGGGTGTGCGTGACATGATCTGGCCAAAGAAAATAGATGTAGTCTGATGGTCTCCAGTGCTCCAGTCTGTTACAGCTAACTCTCAGATTAGCCTAATAAGACATGATTTGTGAGCTGCTAATTACATATGTGGAATAACATGGAAGAGAGTGAGATAGAGGAGAAAGCCGAATGCCAAGTTCTGGAGTTATCCTGCTGGACAGGGTCATCGAAAGGCCTGGCATGAGAACTGACTGGTTTACTTACCCATCTAGCCTTAGGAGCTACATGTTGCCAGCATGGTTAATCTGTTGTTAAAATAAAGACAAAGACTTTTTTTTTGCCAGTCAGCTTATTTATTAAACCAATCACAGCAGCATATATTCACACAGTGTAAAGGAGTATTCCATATTTCTCCCTTTTTGTCTAATTAAAAAGGAAGGTTAAACTTTAACACAATAAAATTAGGTACAACAAAAACAGTTGTCAAAGAAGAATTACAGTTATAGTATCCAGTCCGTTTGTGTTTGGCAAATTTAGTGTAAATATTCTAATACTTATCTTTGTTAGTCTAAAATTTTATACCTAATTTGCCTTCTTAGTTGCATGGCTCAGATTTCCAAGATATAAATGTTAATACCCTCTAACAGCTTTATCCCACCTCTTCCTCAGACATCTGGTATCCACTTCTTCCCCAGGCAGACAGTATTGCCAGTTTGTATGTTTACCTATTTACTTATTTATTTATTTTGTTTTGGGTATTGGGGGTCAAACCTAGGGCCTTGTGCATACTAGTCAAGTGCTCTACCACTGAGCTACAACCCCAAGCTCTTATTAATTTCTTATGTAGCTTCCAAGATATTTTATTCACATAAACAATTACAAATATGTATTTTCTTTGTACATTCCATGTAACAGTGTGGAATGTATAAGTCTCCTACTGACATATTTGCATGGCTTCTCAGTCTTTATTAATATTAACATAACAGTGCTATGATGAGTAGTAGCCTTGTATACTTTTGTCAATCTTGGCCAGGATAAATTGCTAACATTAAAATTGCTGGTTGAAAGGGGTGTGTGTGTTTGTAAATCCAAAGCATTACCAGATTTTCACTCACACTGTTGTTTATGAAGATGTTTCTAGAGCAGTCAAAACTGTTAAGTGGAACCAGTGACTTTATGTCATTAAACTCTTTGACCTTTGCTAATCTAGTAGTTGAAAAACCATACTGCAGTGCAGGTTTCATTATTTGTCAATTATTGGACTGAGGTTACACCTCATTGAATTGTTTATAGATTATATTTTTCTCTGTTGGGTTTTTAGAGCTCTATTTATAGTTCACTTTTAAAATGTTACACTTTTTTCATATTTTATAGCTTTTCGTTTTGCTTAAGATAGGTTTTGTGGGGGCTGGAGAGATAAGTGCACTAGCTGCTCTTCCAGAGGACACAGCTCAATTTCCAGCACCCACATGGCAACTCACAACTGTATGTAACTACAAGATCTGACACCGTCACACAGACATACATGCAGCAAAATACCAATGTACATAAAATAAATAAATAAGGTTTTGTTACAAAAAATATTTTGAGTTCATTCAAAATGCAGTTTTACGTAGTAAAGTATTTTTGTCATTAGTTCAATATAAACACAATTATCTTCAATTTCTAGAAGAATGTATGCCAAATTGGTAATACTGACTTCTTTTGTAGCTAGAGTTGGTTATCTCTTTGAGCTGTGTTGGAGGGTCTTTTTCTTTTCTTTTTTCAAATCTTTGATAACCTTAGAACAAAAAGAAGAAAAGTAAACCAAAACCTGCATCAGAAGCAAACAGTAATGCCCCAGACTCCAGTAAGTCAGTACCGATTCAAGAGGAACAGCCTGCATCTTCAGAGAAAGGTGGCATTAACGGTTACCACGTTAATGGTGCCATCAATGATGCTGAGTCTGTGGACTCACTCAGTGAAGGTTTGGAGACACTTTCAATAGATGCCAGAGAACTGGAGGATCATGAGTTTGCCACACCAGATACACTGGATAGAACTGGTGAGTTTTTTTCCTTCCTTCTTTCTTTTTTTTCAACAAACCCACGTGGAGTTTATTGAACGGAGAGGGAAGAAGAGAAGTGAGGTGTTGGCTAACCAGGAGCAGAGAGAAAGACAGAAGCAGAGAAGAGGGGTGGAGAAGGAAGGGGGAGAGAGGAGGGGGAAAGGAGGGGGAGATGAAGGGAGAGAGTGAGTTTTTTTGTTTTTCTAACAGATTTTGGGAAGTTAATTCACTCAAAAAGTAGTGGGGGGGTCTCCTGTTTGAGACACTTTTTACATTAAGAATAATTGATCTTTTATAGTATTTGTTCCTGTGGTATGGAAGAGTTCACAATAAGCTATTGCCGGGCAGTGGTGGCTCACACCTTTAATCACACCACTCCGGAAGCAGAGGCAGGCAGATCTCTGAGTTTGAGGCCAGCCTGGTCTACAGAGTGAGTTCCAGGACAGCTTCCAAAGCAATACAGAGAAACTCTGTCTCAAAAAACCAAAAAACAACAGCAGCAGCAACAAAAAAACCAGTAGTATTCTTGTTCCTTCGTCTCAAATTACTCTTTTTTATTATTATTATTATTTTAATTTTAAATAGCTTGCTTCACATGTCAATCCCAGTTCCCTCTCTCTCCCCTCTTCCCGGGCTCCCCCCCCCCATCCTCCCACCCTATCATCACTTCCTTCCACATAGGGGGATATCTAGAGTCTGTCATTTCACTCAGGGCAGGGTCCAGGCACTCCCCTAAGAGTCCAGGCTGAGAGAGCATCCCTCTTTGTGTTATGGACACACAAAGTCCATTTGTATGCCAGGGATAAACACTGATCTACTGCCCAGGGCCCCATAGGTTACCCAGGCCTCCTCACTGACTCTCACACTAAGGGGGTCTGGATCAGTCCCATGCTGGCCTCCCAGCTGTTGGTCTGGGGTCCAAGAACTCTCCCTTGTTCAGATCAGCTGTCTCTGCTGGTTTTGCCAGCCCATTCTTTACCAATTTACTCATCGCTCCTCTCTCTCTGTCACTGGGTTCCATGGGTTCAGTTCAGTGTTTAACTGTGGGTGTCTGCCTCTGCTTCCATCAGTCACTGGATGAAGGTTCTAGGATGGTTGTGGACATCAAGTACATTATCAGGAATGGGTATTTAAGGTGGTGTCTCCACTATTGCTTAGCTTGCCAGTTGGTGTCATCCCTTTAGATCACTAGAGGTCTCACTGGTGCCTGATCTGTCTTCTAACCTATGATTCCCTCTTCTCCCTATTCTACCCCCCACTCAGCCTTCCTGTTCCCCCATGACCTACTCTCTCTTCAAATTATTCTTTAAATACATAGTCCTAACACTTCTGACATTCAGTAACAGAGGGATGCCTTAGTATTTAGGGATAAGAGTGACCTTTTAAAGATCTCTTAAAATATGATAGAAAATGAGGACGAGATGATGATGTCATTCTTAGGAACATGTGAGGAATGCTAGTCAAAGACACTGTTTTCCAGCACAGATCCTGTCCAAGAAAGGGTGGTGTTTTAGATCACAGTGGGGGGTGGTAGGCGAATTAGTTGAATAGTCATCAGTACAGGAAGAAAATAGTAAAACTGTTTTAGGAATATGTAATATTAATTGTCATAGCTTTCTTAAATGAAGGTATGTCTATGTGTTTGTTAGCTGCAGAGGCCAGAGGAGGGTATCAGAAGATGGTTGTGAGCCACCATGTGAATCCTGGGAATCGAACCCAGGTCCTCTGGAAGAGCAACCAGTGTTCTTAACCACTGAGCCATCCTCCAGTTCTAATCATAGCTTTCTTTTGTGGGTGTGGGTTTCAAGACAGGGTTTCTCTGTGGCTTTGGAGGCTGTCTTAGAACTCACTCTGTAGACCAGGCTGGCCTCAAGGTCACAGACATCCACCTGCCTCTGCCTCCTATGTGCTGGGATTAAAGGTGTGTACCACCAATGTCATCTCCGCCTGGCAATCATAGCTTTCTTAACAACTAGATTTTTGTGGGTCTTTTAAAAGATTACTTTTAGCCGGGCGTTGGTGGCGCACGCCTTTAATCCCAGCACTCGGGAGGCAGAGGCAGGCGGATCTCTGAGTTCGAGGCCAGTCTGGTCTACAAAGTGAGTTCCAGGACAGCCTCCAAAGCTACAGAGAAACCCTGTCTCGAAAAACCAAAAAAAAAAAAAAAAAAAAAAGATTACTTTTATAGTCCTATATTTGTTTTCTTTTTTAAAATTTTCTTCTTAGATTGATTTATAGTTATGAGTGTTTTTTTTTTAGATTTTATTTATTTATTACATATACACCAGATTGAATTGTAGATGGTTGTCAGCCACCATGTGGTTGCTGGGAATTGAACTCAAGACCTCTGGAAGAGCAGTCAGTGCTCTTAACCTCTGAGCCATCTCTCCAGCCCCCTAGTTATGAGTGTTTTGCCTGCATGAATATCTATGCACCACATGTATGCCTAGTGCCTGTGGAAGCCGGAGAGGGTGCTGAGTCCCTGGATTGGAATTATGGTTGTGAGCTGCCGTATAAATAATAAAGTGCTGGAAGCTGAATCTAGGTTTTCTAGAGCAACCAGTGTTTTTAATTGTGGAGCCATCTCTCCAGCCTCCCTACACATGTTTTCTAGTAAAGAATTAAAATTAGCTAATAGTTAGAAGTTCATGTACTTGGTACATTTATCTGTTAATAATTTTGTTAAGGACTGAGTAGAAACTATGAATGTTTCTCTTTTAGAAGTAACTTGTTTGGAAGCCAGGCATAGTGGTGCATGCTTTTAATGCCAGCACTTGAGGGGCAGAGGCAGACAGATCTCTGAGTTTGAGCCCAGCATGGTCTTACATGAAGAGGTCCAGGATAGCCAGGTCTATGTAGACCCTTCTCACTCCTCCAACAAAACAGAAGAAAAAACTAACTTTTTTGGAGGAGCTGGAGTGATGGGCCAGTGGTTAAAAGCACTGATCTCTCTTGCATAGGACCCAGGTTTGATCCCCAGCATCCACATTGTGTCTCATGACCATCTGTACCAAGGAATCTGACACCCTCTTCTGGCCTTTGGGGACACTGCTTTCTTGTGTTACACAGATACACATGTAGGCAAAAAACCCATGTATACAAAATAAAATGATTAAACATGTAACTATTTGCATTTTAAAAATTATTTATTAATCTTATTCCTTCTGCTTTAGTATCCCTGGTTTCATAAAGGTAATGCTAGTCTCCAGGATTTCTCTGTGTAGCTTTGTAGACCAGGCTGGCACCCAACTCAGAGATCCACCTGCCTCTGCCTCTCGAGTGCTGGGATTAAAGGTGTGCACCACCACCGCCTACCTGCTAGTGCAAGAATTTTATTCTGCTTTTTAGCTGTTCTTTTATTGGCTAATTCACACATTCTTTTTAAAAAGATGCAGAGAAAAATATTGTACCTGACTTTAAACAAACCAAACCAAAGATAACCAGTGGATTTCAATTCATTGTGTACAAGCTCTCTTTTCATTTTCCAGTTCTGCCCTTTCTCTGCTCCGTAAAGCTTTTAAATTATTTTTTTTCCTCTGAGACATTATTGAACTTTTTCTTCATTGTAGCTTATGGAAGCTAACAGTCTTTTAATAGGTGTGACTTTGTCTAACATACTTTTTCCTGCTTCCTTTGTGTCCTGAATATGGCTTAGATAATTCACCCCACACTGCTCCAAACCACTGTTCTCTTTCTTGGACAGGCTCTGTGCTGGAGAATGGTGTGTCTGACTTCGAGCCCAAATCTTTGACGACGCACTCTATTCCGAATGCCCAGCAGTCCAGGAATGCGGCCAAATCTCTCTCAAAAGCCACCACAGGAGCCCAGGTTTCAAATCTGGGAATGGAGAATGTTCCACTGTCTTCCACCAATAAAAGGCTAGGTAAATCGAAGGCCTACTTGGGAGAGAAAAAACAACTGTTTGACCAAATTGAACACAGCTTGACTATTACTCCTGTAGCTGAAGTTCCAGAGGCCTCAGGTGGTAGTCTGTGCTGTAATCCTTGCATGTGTCAGTGTCTTGACACAGCAACAGGGACCTTTGTGTGAGTTGCAGTGTTACTGCCAGAATGACCTAGCTAACCCTGACCCGTTCCCCTGTTCGTCACTGCAGCTGTTTGTGCTATTTTGTTCTCCTCTGTGTCTGACAGGATGTTTTCACTGCTCTCTCCAGCTCATGCTCTTCCTAAAGTCCAGCAGACAGAGGCTCTAACAGGAACTTGACCTCTGAAATACGTAGTATTGATTGGTGGTAGCTCTTTATCTTTATTTTTCTTTCAAGACAGGATTTCTCTATATTACTTTGGAGGTTGTCCTGGAACTCACTCTGTAGACCAGGCTGGCTTCGAACTCACAGAGATCCGCCTGCCTCTGCCTCCTGAGTGCTGGGATTAAAGGTGTGCACCACCAATGCCTGGCGCTCTTTGCTTTTAAAATATGATTTTTTTTGTTAGGAAGTTGAAGTGCTTAGAATATACCTGTAATCCTAGCCTGAATCAGGAAGACCACAGCTTCTAGATTAGCCTGGGCTAAGGCAGTTGACTTTGTCAACAGTGAATAATGTTTAACACCAACTAGTAATAACTTTGTGTGTGTGTCTGTGTGTTTTGTTTTGAGGCAGGGTCTAACCATGTATCTCTCTCTGGCCTGGAATTCTATTTGTAGACCAGGCTGACCTCAAATTCACAGAAGTCTGTCTGCCTCTGCCTCCTGAGAGCTGGGATCAAAGGTAT